TTCTTTAAGTTAGTTAACAAAATCATTAAATTACTCTATAACCTTTGATACAAATTCTTTTATTATACCAGAACATGGGACGGGCCAATTGATTGGACAAGGACATGAATCTAAAGGTCTATACCACTTTGGATCTAACTTATCTGTGTCCTATTTTGCATCTCCTTCTAATCAATGTATCTCTACAACCTTCCATTATAAATATGAGGTGATTTGGATTGTGGAGAGACATTCAAATATTATAATATTTCTCTTATTTTCTCTCAAGTTGGTATCAGAGTAGGTTTATCCTGCTCTGCATGTTTTGGTTTTATTTGGCTGCCACAATCATTATCACCTCTGTTGTTCACCGCTTCCTACTGTCCATTTGGGGGTTCCTCTCTCACTGTTTTCTCCTTTTGTGTGCTGTCTTATTTCCTTCGAGTCAGAAATGACCTCTGGACCAACCCACTGTTTCTTAGGGACTCCTTCCATCAAAAAAGAAAAAAAACTTAATGGGAAAGGAGGTCGTGGAACTAGAGAAGGATGTGGTGGTAAAGGACGTCCTCAATGTATGCATTGTAAAATAATAGATCATACCTAAGATAATTGTTACTCTCTTCATGGTTTCCTTGATAAAATAGTCAATCTCCACATCTACAACTATTAATCCAAAATTTTATGATGAGGAATATCAAGAATATTTGAGGTTGAAGTCTAACCATCTAACCTCTACTCCTTGCATTTCATAATCTGTGAAGGGTCAAAGTCCATGAATTATTGACTCAGGTACTTCTGACCATATTTATTGTAATACCTCTATATTCTCTTCTATTTCTTATCCTAAAATCCATCATCTTATAACCCTACCCAATGGGTCCAAAGTTGTTTCTTAAGGAATTGACCAAGTATCCCTTTCTCCTACCTTACACTTAAAATCTATTATTTTCATTCCTGTCTATCCTTTTAATCTCATTTCTTTAAGTTAGTTAACAAAATCATTAAATTACTCTATAACCTTTGATACCAATTCTTTTATTATACCGAAACATGGGATGGGTCAATTGATTGGACAAGGACATGAATCTAAAGGTCTATACTACTTTGGAACTAGCTTATCTGTGTCCTATTTTGCATCTCCTTCTAAACAATGTATCTCTACAACCTTCCATTATAAATATGAGGTGATTTGGATTGTGGAGAGACATTCAAATATTATAATATTTCTCTTATTTTCTCTCAAGTTGGTATCAGAGTAGGTTTATCCTGCTCTGCATGTTTTGGTTTTATTTGGCTGCCACAATCACTATCACCTCCGTTGTTTGCCACTGCCTACTGTCCATTTGGGGGTTCCTCTCTCATTGTTTTCTCCTTTTGTGTGCTGTCTTATTTCCTACGAGTCAGAAATGACCTCTGGACCAACCCACTGTTTCTTAGGGACTTCTTCCATCACAAAAAAGAAAAAAAACTTAATGGGAAAGGAGGTCGTGGAACTAGAGGAGGACGTGGTGGTAAAGGACGTCCTCAATGTATGCATTGTAAAAGAATAGATCATACCTAAGATAATTGTTACTCTCTTCATGGTTTCCTTGATAAAATAGTCAATCTCCACATCTACAACTATTAATCCAAAATTTTATGATGAGGAATATCAAGAATATTTGAGGTTGAAGTCTAACCATCTAGCCTCTACTCCTAAGATGTCAGTTGCCTACATTTCATAATCTGTGAAGGGTCAAAGTCCATGAATTATTGACTCAGGTACTTCTGACCATATTTATTGTAATACCTCTATATTCTCTTCTATTTCTTATCCTAAAATTCATCATCTTATAACCCTAACCAATGGGTCCAAAGTTGTTTCTTAAGGAATTGACCAAGTATCCCTTTCTCCTACCTTACACTTAAAATCTATTATTTTCATTCCTGTCTATCCTTTTAATCTCATTTCTTTAAGTTAGTTAACAAAATCATTAAATTACTCTATAACCTTTGATACCAATTCTTTTATTATACCGAAACATGGGATGGGTCAATTGATTGGACAAGGACATGAATCTAAAGGTCTATACTACTTTGGATCTAGCTTATCTGTGTCCTATTTTGCATCTCCTTCTAATCAATGTATCTCTACAACCTTCCATTATAAATATGAGGTGATTTGGATTGTGGAGAGACATTCAAATATTATAATATTTCTCTTATTTTCTCTCAAGTTGGTATCAGAGTAGGTTTATCCTGCTCTGCATGTTTTGGTTTTATTTGGCTGCCACAATCACTATCACCTCCGTTGTTCGCCACTGCCTACTGTCCATTTGGGGTTCCTCTCTCACTATTTTTTCCTTTTGTGTGCTGTCTTATTTCCTTCGAGTCAGAAATGACCTCTGGACCAACCTACTGTTTCTTAGGGACTCCTTCCATCACAAAAAAAAAAAAAAACTTAATGGGAAAGGAGGTCGTGGAACTAGAGGAGGACGTGGTGGTAAAGGACGTCCTCAATGTATGCATTGTAAAAGAATAGATCATACCTAAGATAATTGTTACTCTCTTCATGGTTTCCTTGATAAAATAGTCAATCTCCACATCTACAACTATTAATCCAAAATTTTATGATGAGGAATATCAAGAATATTTGAGGTTGAAGTCTAACCATCTAGCTTCTACTCCAAAGATGTCAGTTGCCTGCATTTCATAATCTGTGAAGGGTCAAAGTCCATGAATTATTGACTCAGGTACTTCTGACCATATTTATTGTAATACCTCTATATTCTCTTCTATTTCTTATCCTAAAAATCATCATCTTATAACCCTAGCCAATGGGTCCAAAGTTGTTTCTTAAGGAGTTGACCAAGTATCCCTTTCTCCTACCTTACACTTAAAATCTATTATTTTCATTCCTGTCTATCCTTTTAATCTCATTTCTTTAAGTTAGTTAACAAAATCATTAAATTACTCTATAACCTTTGATACCAATTCTTTTATTATACCGGAACATGGGATGGGTCAATTGATTGGACAAGGACATGAATATAAAGGTCTATACTACTTTGGATCTAGCTTATCTCCGTCCTATTTTGCATCTCCTTCCTCGCCCCCCCCTCCATATTTTACATGAATGTTTAGGTTCTAAATCTAGATGTGAGTCCGCCTTTTCTATCATTTATCTGATGTTTAAGGACCAGGTCAGGTTTTTTCTTTTGATTTTAAATATTTTTTTACCTTCATTGATGATTTTTCAAAATGTACTTGGGTTTGTTTAATGAAAGATCATTCTGAACTTTTGCCTATCTTTACATCTTTCTTTAATTAAATTTTCAATCAATTTGGGAAAGTTAGTAAATTTTTAACAAGTGACAATACCAAAGAATATTTCTCTTATATTTTTCTGCACTCTTAAGATCACATGACATTCTATATCAGTTTACTTGTCCTCGCACACCTTAACAAAATGGTGTAACTAAAAGAAAAAATAGACACTTAGTTAAGACTGCACGTACCTTATTTCTTGGGGTCAATATACCCAGAGGCAGAGAGAATGGGTGGCATGGTGGGGCCATGGCCACCCCAAACTTTAGTAATTTTGTTGAGTACTATGGATAAAAAAAAATATTGGCCCCCCATAATGTACTATCCCACGATATGTTAACGTCTCTCTATTATATACTATTGTGTCACTTCTGTCAAATACAAAGTAACTCACTTTCTCAATTTTTTTATTAAAAAATAAATAAAAGACTCAACTTGTTTGACAAGTTTACTATTTCCTCTCTTTTCAAAACAAAGAACACTTGTTTTGTTTTCTCTTCAGACTAAAAAACTGTAATCTCTCACATTTCAAAACTCAACCATTACAAGAAGGAACAAAAATCTTCTTCGTTGGCTAGCTTTGGTCCACCATTTGTCTCTTTCAATTCAACCTCATCCACTTTGAAAAGGTAAGTTTACATATTTATTTATTGCATACTTCCATTTTTATATTGTTTCTTACTTTCTCTATGTCTTGCTTTTCTTCCTTTTTCATAAAAAAAAAACATAACTTGTCATAGTGAATACTGTTATGTTGGGCAAACAAGACAATATTTAAATTTTGTTTCTATTTGTATTATTATAGGTTATTAGAAAAATTGGAGTTAAATTCCTCAAATTGGAGCTCAATTCCTCAAATTTTGTTTCTATTTTTTTTTATTTCCACTAGGTTAAAAGATGCATAAGAAAAAACAATTGATTTTTTTTTAAAGAAAAGAAAGAGATGAAGAAGAAACACAACCCGCTAATGTTCAAAGAGTTATTGATGTTGAAAAACCAATCAACAATAGAGCAACTTGTCCAACCACATATGTCTAAGTCTTTAAGGTAACATTTACAATTATATTTTCAAAGTTAAAGCATCATTTTGTTATTTTTCTTGTTTAGTTTATGGTTAAATGATACTTAAAAATTTACTAATATTTTTTTAATCGATATATATTTATTAAGAATAATTTTTTTAAAAGTTAAGAATAAATAAAAGTCTTAATCCGGTCTTTTTTAAATTCGGTTTCTCATTAACTAAAATTTTGGTCCCATTAAAATAAATTTCTGCCTCCAGTCCCTAAATATACCGGTCCATCCATCATTGGGGTGATGTTGTACTCAATGTCTATTTTCTTATTATAGAATGACATCATCTTCTCTTAAAAGTAAAGTTTCTTATTCCATTCTTTTTCCCAATAAACCTCTCTTTCATGTTTCTCTTCATGTGTTTAGATGTATATGTTTTGTTCATAATATGACCCAGGATTGGATAAACTCTCCGTCTTGTTTTCTTAGACTGTTTCCATCTTAAAAAAAGATATTGTTGCTACTTTCCTAAAACAAAAAATGTTATATGTTTGCTGATGTTACATTTTTCAACAGACTTTTTTCTTTTCTTCATCCATCTAGGATGTTCAGTCTCTCTAACAAATCGTTCATATACCATTCATTGAGTCTTTGGATCCTTCTACTAACTCATCATCTCGCATTCAGAGTATCTGCTCCATATGTTTTACCTATTGTTACTTACCAATGCAACTTCCACCACCGCACGCCCAACCAAGCCACTTCCCAACCCTTTTCGCGAAACGCTAGCCATCATAAACCCAAATCTCAACCATTGGTGCACGATTCTCGTGCCTCCACCACAAGCCACTGTGCCTCTAACCCCTCTCCATTCAATTCGCGACCACCCTAACCCAATCTAACCACTCACTCATCACAACACCATTTGCCCCACCACGAGCCCTAGCCACCATGTCTTAGCCTCCACATCGGCATGGTTCATAGCCAAGCACGATTCAGACCCCGCGAACACCTTTCATCCCTTCTTTTTTCATTTTTTCTTTATTATTTTGGTTCCTTGTTCTCGTTCCCACGCTGCATAGTTTTGATTCAAATTTTTGTTATTGGATTATAGGACTTGTAATTGGTATGAGTGTTGAATCGTATGTAGACGGTATGTTTATTTGTACATGTAGTCGCGGATCTTCACCATTGATACTGGGGGAGCCAAATAATATATTATTAATAAATAATAAATAAATATAAAAAGAAGAAAGAAGATGAAAGAGTGAAAAAATAAAATTCTAGATATATACTTAAATATATTAAATGATCATTAAGTTTGAGGGGAACAAAATTATAAATTATATGAGAGTTACAAAATTGAGGAGGAATTGAGAGGATAAAATTATAAATATACAAGTAAATATATTAAATGTTCATTATGTTTGGGAGCAAAATCATAAATTACATGGGAGTTACAAAACTTTGGGGCCACGCTCCCAGCTTCCAAGAAGATATGCCATCGTGTACATGGATTAAATTTTAATTTGTATTGTATTTGGATTGCTTGAATTGTTGATAGGGATGACAATTAAACTCGTACCCGTGAAGACCGATCCGTTCCCGCCCCGAATTTGACGATAAAAATCGAGTTAACTAGGGGTTGGGCGGGTTTGAGTTTTTCCCGCTTTAAAAATTCGGGGTGGGATGAGTAATGTAATCCCCACCTCGCTCCGTCTCGACTATATATTTTAATTTTAAAATATTAATATTTTAAAAATATTTCTTTTTCTTTTTCTTTTTCTATTACATATAAGATCAATTTTCTTTTATATTTCACCATTTTTATTTTTCTTCTACTCACTTCTTAATTTTTTTGTCTTTTTTAATCTTTTATATCAATTAGTTTATTACATTGTTCTTTTACTCTTATCTTTCAGTTTTTCACATTTCTTTAATATCTCTAATCAATTTTTTTTCCAATCTTTTTAATCAATTTGATGAACACAATATTAACTTTTTTTCTTTATCTTTTTTTAAATATTTTACATAAATCTTAGTAGTAACTAATGTTATTTTATTTATAATTTATATTTATTAGGTTTTATTATGTCATATTTTTTGGATCTTATTATTCGTATTTATCATATATCAAATTTTATCTTAATAAAATAATTATATTTTAAAGGATTAAAAAGAATTAATAATTTAAAATTTTATTACTTTAAACTAATTAAATAAGAATTAACTTATTAAGTATTTCTTTATAAATTATATATTTCATATTTTTAAATAATAACTTAAAAATGAGTAAGTTATATATATATATATATATATATATATATATATATATATATATATAATCATATGTTTGAATAAAGTATTATAATAATAAGTATTTTATATTTATATAAAGAAAAAATAATTAAATATTTTTTATACATATTTTAATATAAATATAATAAATTAAAATATATATTTAATTAATAATAATTATAAATTATAAAATTATAAATGTTTATTTATTTATAAAAAATACATAAAAATAATAAAATTAATTTATTATAAATATAATTATTTTTTTTAAATATAATTAAATTGAAGATGAAAAAAAAAAAAAACTCAAAACTCAACTGAAATAGAATTGAAAGACAGAATCCATCACCGTCCATCCTCCTGGTGTCACGCCTAACTGTTGATAAGGATCGTGTGTCCTTTTTTGTTTGTGTCTGGACTGTTAAGGACTGCGGATCCTATGACTTATGTTAATTTTCTGGCATGCTACTAAATTTTTGTTCAAATATTGGTTTCATAAAGTAGTTGATTTTAGCATGTTATTTTCTTTTGGGTGGGGATGGATTATTTCAGTCAACATTTTACTCCTACTTGTAAATATTTTACCCTTTTCTTTTGAATGTTATATGTTTACTGCGTAATGGCCTTGATTGGTGCAAGACGTTTTAGACGTGAGAGTACGAAAGCGTGACTTTTGGTTTCTTTTTCTTTTATTATTATTTTTTTTATCTTTTTGAGCTCATGGCTTTCGGCCCCGTGATTTTTGATTTAGCTGTGGGCGGCCATATGTGATTCAGGATAATTGAACAATCAGTCTTCTCATTTTGATTGTTTTGTCCATTATCTTTAATGCAACTGCGTAGTTTACTAATGAGTTGCTTAGACGTGTGCGCGACCGTCCACGTTTTTTCATGTCTGATGTTTTCAAATCACGGGTATAGTCACTTGCGTCATGATGTGTTTTATTTTCTCCATTCTTTTTCACAATAAATTTATACACACTCATGTGGCAATACATATGTTTTGAGTATATATATGGTTATATGCACAGTTTTATATCCGTTTAATATTTGTTTTGTAAGTTTATTCAGTACGGTCATTTGCACCGTCTTATACTTTGCAACCTTTTATGAAAATAAATCTCTTTTAAAAAATATATATATATATATATATATATATATATATATATATATAATTTCCAAAACAGTAAATCAACACACAAACTTTTTTTTTTAAATTACGTAATCTTAATTTCTCAATTTAAATAAGAATATATATGAGAGACGATTTATCATTGGACCCAAAAAACTAAAAAAAAAATTATTAATTTTTTTCTTCTTTTTTTCAGGGAAAATAAACATTTTGCAAATTACATCAATTTCGTACATTTAATTATAGGTATGCCTTTGAATAGATATCATAGGATGTTAATAATTTCTGTACGCATAATTGTTTCCTGGACTCAAAATCTAGTTTTCATAGTGTTTCTCGTGGAATTTTGATCGATTTTGATTTTTAGGGAGTTTTGTTCTAACCAAATTCCAACCACGTAGATTCTTTTTACTTAGGCTAGTAAATGGTTTTCAATCGAAATATGTATGAGAATCGAAAGTACCACAAATCCTAATGTAACCTAATGACAATTGAAAGCGCAATTTTTGGTATTTTGTATTTAAAGCACTCGAAATAAAGAAAACAGTAAAATGTCAAATCGAAAAGCAGTACAGAATATAAAGCTGCGAAAAAATATTAATTTGCAGAAAATGTAAAGTGCGGAAACCTCAAAATTGCATTAAGAGTAAATGACAAGGAATCGAAAATTGCAGGATTGTAAATAAGCAAAAAATCGAACTTTGCAGAAAAATAGATAACAGGAAATCGAAATTGCACAAATGACAAATGACAAGTAATCGAAAGTACAGAAACTTAGATTGCATTAAGGTAAATGACAAGTAATCGAAAGTACAGAAACTTAAATTGCGTTAAGGTAAATGACAAGTAATCAAAAGTACAGAAGCTTAAATTGCATTAAGGTAAATGACAAGTAATCGAAAGTACAAAAACTTAAATATACATTAAGGTAAATTACCAGGGAAAGTAAAGAAAACGATAAAGGCAGTCAATGAAAATGGAAATCCAGATCGCCAGAAACTTCATGATTGCGTCGTTCTCCGGTAGACTTCTCACTAGTATTTCTGTTCTCTCTGCCAATTTCCCCCTCCTTTTCTAGTCTTCGCTTTATTTATAGAGCATCCTTCAAGTAACCTCTCAAGAGTGGTTAATACCACTATCGCCACGATCTTACGTGCCCGTTCCTTTAGTCTTACCGTTTTAAAAACTACACTCCACGTTTTCACGTATAAGGGAACTGCTCCTCCTTCGATTTCTGTCGTGGTTTAGAAACTGTTTCCCACGTTCCCTGTGTGTGTGTTAACCGCTCCCTCGATCTCGATTTCAGACATCGAGTATTTTAAATTTTGCTTTTGATTCCCTTTAATTTTGTACTATTCTAACTTCAACAATAGGCATCGAAATTTGTTTCTTCGATTCTCGATTTTGATTCTCGATGTACTTTTATCTTTGTGGTTACCAGCTTTTACCAATTTCATCGAAAATACGTTCTCGATGTCTTCTACCAATTATATGGTCTTCGATTTTTTCTTTCCTTCGTTTTTCGATCCCTTTATCGATTTCCCATTAACAGAATGCCCCCTTGGAAGAACATAAATATTTGTATTTATATTCTTTCAACATGATTCCCGCTTTCACATGTTTGGAGGCCCACAGTAACTTAGGGTTTAGGGTTGCTGGGGTTTTTTAGGGTTTACAGGGTTTTAGGGTTTCTTCTACTTTATGTCACCTATCACGTCAGTTCTGCTGCAACACTGCATACGCCACATTATTTACCCTTCACCTCCGTCGCTTCCAGTACCCTAGTGGGTTCCCTTCAAACGTTTGTTAGCCTTTTACTCTTGTTTTTACACGAACTTTTACTCCTCCTTTGCACCTTCGTCTTCTACCTTGCACCTTCGTCCTCAAACCTTGTACTTTCGTCCTCAAACCTTCTGTTTTCTTCTGCTCTACCGGCTAGTGAAATGGCAACCTCATCCAAATCATCTGATTTTTCCGCCCCACCACTTCCCTCGTTGGCCTCTAACCTGCTAGAGATTAATAATCAGAAATATGCTCCAGTTCCTTTGTTGGAGGAAGCTTCTCAGAAGGTTGCTGAGACGCAGGTACTGATTCCTTACACTGCTGATGATGTAAATTATGCTTTTGGGGGTCCTATCCGTTCTTGTAGCGTATCTTTTTCTTCCATCAATTTTTCTTCAAAGAGTCAGGCTCCTATCCACCAATCTGAGGTTCAAGTTGATTTTTTGAGTATCGTATCCAAAGTATACCGTACGGGCCCTCCCCACAAAAAACCTTTGTATATTAGGTGGTTTGATCGAGTAAAAACAAAGTTTGGGAACCATTGGAGAGATGTGGGGATCTTCGATTTCCTGCATCTGTCTCGATGCGATTTATCTTATTTAGACATGGCTATGTTCCTATCAGCTGTTCATCTGTGGAATAAGGACTTGCATGCTTTGGAATTACCCTATGGTCCACTTTCACCCACCCT